CACTGGAACAGATCTTTCAAGTTCTCCTTGTATTTTTCATTTAGTTGTATCCCTATCAATCTGAAACTTTCCCATTATTGCCACTACCTACACTGGTACAGATCTTTCAAGTTCTCCTTGTATTTTTCATTTAGTTGTATCCCTATCAATTTGAAACTTTCTTATTATTGCCACTACCTACACTGGTACAGATCTGTCAAGTTCTCCTTGTATTTTTCATTTAGTTGTTTCCCTATCAATCTGAAACTTTCTTATTGCCACTACCTACACTGGTACAGATCTTTCAAGTTCTCCTTGTATTTTTCATTTAGTTGTACCCCTATCAATCTGAAACCTTATTATTGCCATTACCTACACTGGAACAGATCTTTCAAGTTCTCCTTGTATTTTTCATTTAGTTGTATCCCTATCAATCTGAAACTTTCTTATTATTGCCACTACCTACACTGGTACAGATCTGTCAAGTTCTCCTTGTATTTTTCATTTAGTTGTATCCCTATCAATCTGCAGTTTTCTTATTATTGCCACTACCTACACTGGAACAGATCTTTCAAGTTCTTCTTGTATTTTTCATTTAGTTGTATCCCTATCAATCTGCAGTTTTCTTATTGTTGCCACTATACCTACACTGGAACAGATCATTCAAGTTCTCCTTGCATTTTTCATTTAGTTGTATCCCTATCAATCTGCAATTTTCTTATTGTTGCCACTATACCTACACTGGAACAGACCATTCTGAAACAAGCATATCTGGCTTGTGCGCTCAAGATTTAAGTTATTAACATGAAGTTCATGATATGCGGCCTGAGCAATCAATAGTTGAGATATCAACAAGAACTGAACGATATATGCAGCAGGGCACACTTCGTGTCTTACTGGTTGATCAGATCGGAATATGTTTTGTGTCGTATTTCTTAAAATTGTCGTCTGGAAATGGTTCTATAAGACATGTGTTTTTTGGATGCTTGTGCTCGGAGCAACCGTTATCCACACGCAATAAATATTTAAATGAGGGTACTAACGGCTTTCAATTAATAATTTCGTAGGCTTCAATTTTAATTGAAAACGTTGCTGGAAGAAGAATTGTTTGAAGAATGTTTCAACAATATATTCTAACAATATTGTTCATTTTAATCATGCTGCGCCAGACGTTACAAACAGCTGTATACCTGTTCTTGGGCACGTGGAAATTGAGATTATGAAATTGTGAAAATCACTCACATAATGTCATACGGTGTGCTTGAACTGTGATAATTGAGAACTAGACTTTGCAAACAGCAGTACCTGCTCATAGGCGAATACAGTATAAAACTTCTATATATTAAATTAACAAATGCACGTGCATGCATACAGTATATATGCGCCCTACTGCAGTGTTGATATAGTTGAAATCCTCAATTCCATGACCATGATTATATCTGATCAGGTGACACTCTCCGCAAGACTACTGGCAGTTTAGTCATAATGGTACACAATACTGCGATGGTCTATATAAAATATTTTCCCGTTGATGCAAAGTTTCCAGGAACGTAGTCACAGTTTAAAACATTCGATTAAGTATTTGCATAATTGGATTCGCAAAATTTCAGTTTTCGGCTCTTTAAATTATTAGCTATAATAATAATAAGTTGCAATTATAGTGATAATAATAATCCATTTATTGAATGGTTTTGCTGTACAAAACTGAATTACATGCAGGTACTATAAATACCAAATCAACAAGTTCTATTTATCTATATGCCCTATAACAGCTTTATTAAGTAGTGCTATTAATGTGATTCCGTAAAACGTCGACTATTAAGCAATTTGTCCTTAAAGGAAAATAGCAATAAAAATTAAGTTTCTCCCTTTTGGAAGAGAGATTCAATATATTTGAAACCATTTTTACAGATTTTCTTTATCGTTCTTGGTATAAAAGATATTACACACTTCATTTCAAACAAAATCATTATGGCATTGAACATTCCGCCATCTTGGATACTGACTCTTCCACAGTCCCTAGCGTTATCCGTGCAATGATTCATGGGAATGCGATAAAAATTGAGTATAATGCAAAGGAGTCTTGGATATGCATGTCCATCACTCCATCATTGCATATACGTGACGTCACAACCATACAGGATAACATTATTTTGTATTTTGAACAATTCTCAGGCCATTTTAATGCTAAATATATCCGATTAGCTCCGACTGTTTTACATCTCTCTGCAGCAAAAAGTGAGGAGTTTTGCTTTTGTATTTTGAAAAAATGACGAAGTTTGGACGTGCCGAAGGAAACCTCGCTCTTTAACTCTAAAAAATACTACATGATTAAACATTTTGACGTCCCAAAACTTAGTTTGTACTAAACCCCAGGTATTTGAGCTTTTAGTCCTTGTTTTATTCACCTTAAATTGACTTTTTCAATTGATGTTATTTTCGCCACCGCATCTTCTTGTTGGGCATTTACATGAGCACGTTGAATATGGCAGCCAAGCTAGCTTTGATAATGCTTATTTTAATCGTTAAAAGTAAGTCTTGGGTATTTGAAAATAAATTGGCAAATGTATCTAATATTTTTCCACATAATTTGTGTCATAAAATCTCTTTTAACTCTTGTTGGAAAGTCTCATAATACTATTTTCGCGCGGTTTTTATGACAAATTTTGTTTTGGCCCTCATACTTTAGCAGTTGACTGTCTTAGTATTCTCTAAAATGAAAAAGAAAAAAAGGAAATTAAAGGGGTAAAATTTATCGATATAAAAAGTGTAATTTTTAGACTGCACTAGGGACTACCTACAAAGCACGTCTTCAATCCCCTTCCAGTTTACTTATAGTTCAATGGTTAGGGCTGGACCATTAGATATCTTGGATCGGGGGAGATTTGAAAATAAATTCATGCAAGCTGCATTTATGAAAAGAAAACAATTCCTGCAACTACATGGAAACAGAAATACAGGAAATAGACACAAGAAAGGAACTTATTGAATATTGTAGTCAAGATTATAATCACGAAGTTACACGATGCAATTTGTAGTAAATGAATCAGGAACCCAAGCTCTTTTTTACTTATACAGCCTCATATAGCCAACCTCGTACCCAGGATATTTCTTTGGGATCCTGGGTACGAGGTTGCCTCATAGCATTGCTCGCTCGATCCTTTGCCCGCGCGCTTATTAATAAGTGCGACAACAATATTGTACAAAACTAATGCGGGGTATGTTATCCATCAGATTAAAACAATAACAGGGGCCGGTGCACCACTATATAAAATATACTTTACAATAATTTCCACACAAATAAGAATGTTCATGGTTTTTTAGTTTAACTTACAGTTACATGCACCTTCTATTAAACTTGGCATCGAAAAAGAAACACGACCCTGCTGTGTGATTGTTTTTGTGGTGTTTCTATTAATTTGAAATGTTGAGTGATTTACAAAATAATCACATTCTAGCCGATAAGCACACGACCAGCATTTCAGAGTAAGACTGAATGAAGACAAAGGACTAAAAAGATGAGATAGATGTTTTTAATTGATAAACCTTGCAGCCATAGGCTGAATTATGTTTACTTTACATAAGTCCAATTACTGTACTCTGTAGCTATATTACAACCAATATTACCAACTAAAGTTGGTCAACAAGAGATAAGAGGTTACTCTAAAAGACTATTATTAATATGGTCAGTTTTACTGTTTAGTGTTATTCAATTTGGCTAGAATTTTAGCGGTGAACTAGCCGAATAAAAAATCTGTTTTTTAAACGATCTGTTCGGAAGTTTGCGTTAAACTTATGTTTGGCCCTAAGCTCGGTGATGCACGTGCTTCGGGCTTGAAGAAATCCATGATTTTCGTCCATCATAATGTCCTGGAAAAGTTTATTGGTTATCTTCACTCTTCTGGTGCGCGTCAGAAGGGATACAGGGGGGTGGATTACACCAGGCAGTGCGTCAGTATAAGCTTTCCCGGGGTGGGAAAACGTCGGGGACTCAACTTATATCGCTGTATCTGTGAACTATATCAAAACAAGCGACATCTATCCGTAACACAATATATATATAGTTTTGTTAATAAAAGTAGACATAACTTGTTTAACCCCCATGGCCCTCTGAAACGCCGCTATTGGCGCAGCTAACCCCCAGCAAAGACTTACTTTGAGTCTTTGACGGAACCTTAATTGATATTATATCGTTACTATTGTATATGTGTAGGCAGAGAAGCGGTCAACAGGGAAATCATTAGGTTCCCTCTCTGTGCTATTGTCACCTCCTAATATCTGTTTGTTTAAGTTACCGGGGGTAAGATTGTTCTATCTATTGTAGGCCGTTGTGGGTGACTATTACGTGGGTGTGATATGAAGCAAGCAAGCAAGCGACTTACAAACGTCTTTTAATGAATTTTAGAACATTTTATTAATTACTGCCGGCAATATATTCCCTCCTCTGTGCAACATGTCGGCAATTATCTATTGATGCGCCATGGGCTTCATCCAGTTGTTGTTTTGATATCAGTAGGCACAACCCTGAACAACGTCACATCATATCCAACGTTATATCATAGCCAACGTTATCTCATAGCCAATGTTATATCATAGTCACTCGGTTTTATTTTTTTATTAAAAAAAACTTTATCTAAACGCTAGCTCCCAGAGGTTAGGAAGACCCCCCCCCCCC